GGCTGGGGGTGCTTCTGGGCAGAGCGTCGCTCATGCCCGCACATCCCAGATTTGCCCGCCAAGGGCTTGCAGACCGCCAACGCGTGCTGCTTTATCTGCTAAATGCTGTCGCCCACCTCTTCGCCTCCCGCCACTGCGCGCTTCCGCCTGAGCTTCTGGTAGGGGGCCGCTGCCCTCAGCGTCGCGTCCACTGCCAGGCGCTTGATCTGCAATGACAGAAGCGGGGTTTCGCAGGGGGTTGATACGTGGCCGCGCCCGCCATGATTCTGATGCCACGTGGTGCCCTTAGAGACAGTGCTAGTCAGGCATGCGCCCTGCATGGGTGACTGCTGGGCCGCCTGCAAGCGAATTGCTACCGTAGGTGTTTGCGCATGGGTGCCTGCATGCGTGCGTGAGTGCGCGCGTGCTTGTGCGCGCGCGCACGCGTGTGTGTGTGTGTGTGTGTGTGCGCGTCTGTGTGCGTACGTGCGTCCGGATAGGCATATGTGTGCGCTTGTGTGCACATGTGTGTGCATCTATTCACGCAATTCAGGGAGCCCGTCTTTGGGGCAATAAGGCCTGTGTCTGTGACCCATTCAGTCTTTAAATGTCAGTGCCTAATGTCAGCCATGTTCCTCGGGGGGCTCGAGGCAGCTGCCCTGTGTGTTGCTATCGGGTGGATCCTCGTCCTGCGGCTGGCCGATGCCGACATGAGGACATCAACAACAACATGATCTACCTGACAGGGCTACCTGGCTGTCTGCCTGCCTGGCTGCCCCTTTGCCTGCCTGTCTGGCTGCCTGACTGCCCGGCTGCCCGGCTGCCAGTGACTGCCTGTAGCTGTCGCACCTTCTTGGCCTTTGGGAACATGGGCTTCACGTAGCGCCCCCGCTCGTCGGAGTATATCACCGCCTTCGAGCGCCCACTCTTGCCGCGCGCCAGGCGCTGCGCCTGTGCGAACGCCAGTACTGAGGGGTCCAGGATGACGCCCTCTGGGGAGAAGAAGAACTGCTCGGGTAGCTGCGATGGGGGGGGGCGGAGGGGTGCATTGGCAGGGGGG